ACTGTTTCGGCCTTCTGGGCCTCATCAGTGTAGTGCTGATGCTAGGGTGGAGAAGAACCGAGAGGGTCACCCCAAACGACCCAACATTTGTGGTGTCGTCTAAGCCATGCTAGAGTGCTAGAACTAGAATAAACTATATATATACACATACATATATATAACGAGTTGATCTACAGAACTGCTTTCAGAGTGCTCAATAGTAAACTAGAGCGTGCTTAAAATAGAGGACGGAGTGATCAACTGAAGATTTGACTTGGCATTTATTACTATTTAGTTTCGTACTGCACAGCTTGTGTAGCACTCATCGGATAAAATTGCCAAATGCGAACTTACAACGTTAAACTGATTTGAAATAACGCACACTGATTTGAAATAAGGTGATAGTTACCATATATGGACTCTTTACATAAGGTAAGGGCTAAAAATGAATAAATAAATAAACAAATAGACACTATTGCATGACAGTAAATAAACACAGACGGGCGCGCAATAAAGGTAAGGGCTAAAAATAAATAAACACAGACACTATTGCGTGACAAGGCAGGTATTGAAATTTTTCAGGAGGAATTTTTTAGCATGTCTACATGAGGTTATCAGTTCATTTCGTTTGTTAAGTGAGGCTAAATCAGGTTTGCAAATTACAAATACTTCTCCCAGAGGCATAAATTACAGCGATTTGAGGCGGGGTTGTACGGGGCGGCCTGCCTTAAAATCTTCCAAGAAATCGTGTAATCTATGTTCTTGTCCTGTAAGTTCCAGACGTTTTACTTAGTTCCGTGCTATGTCTTTTGTTAGGGTGGTTGAATGACGCTTTGTGGTTGGCATATCTTTTCTTAAGGGAGTTTTCCGTCAGGCTCACATAGGTTTTGGCGGGGTTGTTGTCTTCGGTTGTTACCTGTTGCTTGGTGTACAACCGATTCCTTGAAGCAATTTCTATCCATGGGACGCTCAGCTGGGTTTCTACAGTTGCATGTTTTGGTTGGTTTGGCATTATTGTTTAAGACCGATTTGTTGTGGCTGTCGGTGGTTTGCTTGAGGTTGGGCATACAACTATAGCTGATCTTTACTGTGTTGCGGTTGAAGATCTTATGCAACACATTGTCCTCGGGGAATTCCTCGTCAAGTATCTTTAGAAATTCACGTCCGATGTTGGTTTCTACATTTCTACTATACGGTAGATTGTACCAAATTATTTCCCTCTTTCGGTTTGATTGGTTCGTGGCCTTTAAACGTATTATATATATATATATATATATATATATATATATATATAGTAGTGTGGCACACGAGGACGGACAACTTCGAGCGAAGGAAGACATATACATATATATATGATATCATCGATTACATTTGAGGCCTTTTAACTTGTTATATATATATATATATATCACCATTAATTATGGGAATTACTGCTTTCTTCTTGTAGCTTGTTGGTATGTTTACAACAGACAAAGAAGGAGACAAGGCTAGCTTTACAGAACACACCCAGAAATACTTGTCAAAGGGATACGACACAATCAAGGTAGAAATTACAGCTTTGCTTAGATTAGTTTTTGTATGTTTACCTTGAGTGGCTATTGGCCAGATATAAAAATTGTAAAGAACGAAAACTCAGTCATATTCCCAAGAAATAAAGAACCGTACAGTTTTAAGGCTTGTTCAATTTCACCTGTAGGTTTCTTCTGATATCTTTTTTTAAGGAAGAGAAAAATACGCAAGTGATAGCCTCCTCAGGAAAAAAAACCATTGCATTTTTCAATACGATCATCCTTAAAAAGGTTTACCTTGATAAATTGGTGAATGATCTACAACAACTCATATCTGCTTCTTTGGGGTTTTTTCAAGGTGTATCACAAAGAGCTAGAAAAAGTCCCAGAATTCCAAGGCTTCAGCGACTTTATCGCAACCTTCCCCCTTCGTCGTGGAAAGACAAAGTCTCACAAGAACGATGACGAAGACGAAGGAGCGGTCGGTGAATTCAAGGTAGGAAAAAACCTAGATAAGCTAAAGCAGCTTTGTAGCCTATTCCCTTTGTTAGACTTTCCCTGAAGAGAATCAAAGAGGTGTGCGTTATTTAGGGGAAGCGAGCTTTTGACTCAGTCAGTCACAGACAGTGAAGGTGTAAAATTATTTCAGGACTCTTTAAGGCTAAACGTTACAATACTGCTGACTGTATTGAGAAATAAATCTTCTTCATTGACTGTCTCTTTAGGGAGCTTTCCGTATTTACCCTATTCCTGATGAGATGCCGGATACAGATCTTCCCGAAACAATGTTCACTAACCTCCCCAGTAGCCTACCGATCGAATGCACAGTTCGAGTCTACGTTGTTCTGGTAAGTTCGCACCCATCGATTTCAGTTAATTTCGAGTTCTATTCCATACACGGGAATGGAAGGGACGCTCTGACGAGGGGCTAACGCTCGAAAAGTCAGTTATAGAAACAGTCTGCAGTGGCCAGTTTAAATTGACAACTCAGTTGACAAAACCGGATTATCTTGTTATACCCCATACTGATGCAGCACCACAGTTCCTTTA